AGAAAGACAAACGGGATGGATAGTGGAAGAAGGAGAAAATAGGAAACAGAATAGAAGCCTACCACAGAGAGCCTCTGTGTATCAAAGCAGCTGCTGAGACTCATAACCAAACTTTGGGCAGAGTGCAGCGAATCTTATGAAAGAAGGGGGAGATAGTAAGACCTGGAGGGGATAGGAGTTCCACAAGGAGAACAACAGAACGAAAAAATCTGGGCAGAAAGGTGTTTTCTGGACTGATACTCCAACCAAGGATCATTCATGGCTATAACCTAGAACCCCTGCTCAGATGTGCCCATGTTACCTCAGTATCCAAATGGGTTCCCTAGTAAGTGGACATGAGCTCAATGGCTGGCTCTTTGATCACCTCCCCCTTAAAAGGGATCAGTGTTGCTAGGCCACAGAGGAAGACAATGCAGCCAGTCCTGTTGAGACATGATAAGCTTAGGTCAGATGGAAGACAAGGAGGACCTCCCCTATCAGTGGACTTGGAGAGGGGCATGGGACAAGATGAGAGAGTGAGGGTGAGATTGGGAGGGAATGATGGAGAGGGTGACAGCTGGGATACAAAGTGAATAAACTGCAATTAATAGAAAAAATAAAAATTTAATTAAAAATTCACTATATGAAATTCTCAAAGAACTGATAAAATATTAGCTAAATATTGATAAAATATCAATAAAAATAAAATACATAGCCAGGTATAGTAGCATATGCCTTTAGAATCAGCACTTAAAAGGCAGAGGGAGACAGATCTTTGTGAGTTTGAGACCAGCATGGTCTACAGAGTGAGTTCCAGGACAGCCTGAACTAGTTAGTGAAACTTAAAAAAAAAAACTAATTAATTAATGAATGAAAATATAATTCTGAGATTCATATCAGAAATTAGTTGGTTCTCTCCCGCTCCAAATCTTTTAACACTCTTTTCAGATTACTAATCCTCTCATGTACAGAAGATTCAGGTCATTTCTCAGGGTCATTTGATAGTAAATTATATTCATTATTTCTTTAAAAATAACTCACATTAAAATAAAATATGAACATGAGTTAGTCTCTTAAGGGTTCCCCTCATCTCAGTAAAATGAAACACTGAACTTTTGATCATAGAACTTAAGTTTGTTAATCCCAATAACCATCACAAGTACTGTCCCATTTTATTCTACTATTTCATTTTAGCACAACTTATTCCCACATAGCATACTAGATTTGAATAATGTGCAACCAAATAAGATGGGTCCAGTGCTGAGGGATCGTATCATTGAGTGGCAGACAGTAAGAGCTAAGTTAACAATTGTAAAGTACCCATGTTGGTTTCAAACACTAAATTGTCCTTCTCAAAAGGCTCCAGTAGCAAAGAGTCACTGCTTTCAACATCAAACCTGTGATGGCTATTTTTGGTTGTCAACTTGACTATATCCGGACAGAAATGGAGGGTGAAACTGTTCTCTCTTGACCTTGAGACCAGAAAACTCAGGCTTTTGATCTGGTGGGATAACACACACCTTTAATCCAGATCTTGAGGCACACCTTTAATCTGTATCACACCTTGTGCTAGAAGGTTATTTAAGGAGGATGTAAGAAGGAAGGGTTTGTTCTTCCCATGCTCGCAAAGAACATCCATTCCTTCACTGGCATTGGAATCTACTTCGTCAGGATTCCAGCTTATGCAGAAGAGCAGCTGAGACACCCAGCCTCATAGGACTGAGAGGAACTATTAGAATCTTGGACTTTCTATTCGTTTCCATTGTTGGATTAGTCGGACTTCAGCCTATAAGTCCTTCCCATAAATTCTCTTTATATATAGATGGAATATATATGAAATATATAAATATACATATATATATATATATATATATATATATATAGAGAGAGAGAGAGAGAGAGAGAGAGAGAGAGAGAGAGAGAGATTCATTCCATAGAGAACCCCGACTAACACCCCTTTCTAGAGGCTTGGATCCAAAGACTGATCCATGTCTGAGAATAATTCCCTACCACCTCTGCCCTACTTCCTACAGCTCAGAGGAGCTGTTCGGGCTCCTGAGACTGACATAAAGTCCACCAAGCCTATTGTTAGGCTCCCATTGACTCTCAAGCCTTTTTGCTACTTTAGCAGTTTTTAACTGGGGGATGTCTGATACCCAGACACTAGGGTATGTGTCAGTGTTGCAGTGGGGGTGTTGCTACTAAAATCAAAAGGATAGACAGCAGGGATGCTGCTAAGCAGCTTATAGTGTGCTGTACAGCCCTGACTACAAATTACTACAGTGTTCAATATGTCCGTATGCCACCATTGAGGAAAATCCACACTTGTACATCCCATTTGTGGAGAGTGGGGAGCACAGCATAGGGTTTTTTTCAGTTCTATTTCCTCTGTATTGTAACATCCTTAGCATGTAGGACTCAATCCTACATCTTCTCACATTGTCTCTCAGTTCCACATATCTTTCCTCCCACTGCTGGGATGAGAAGGGGTGGGATTCACACACTGTGAAAAGGAGGGCACATCTTGCTATAGCAGGACATTTATAAGTGGAACCTTATTTTTTTGTGTGTGTCTACTGTCTTGCTACCCTTACCATACCAGCCACTTCCAGTGGCTACATCCCTGATGCTGCAACCCTTTAATACAGTTTCTCATGTTGTGGTGACCCTCAACCATAAAACTATTTTCGTTGCCACTTCATAACTGTAATTTTGCTAATTTTGTAAATCACAATGTAAATATTTGGGGAGATAAAGGGTTGTCAAGGTAGTCGCGACCAACAGGTTGAGAACCACTGCTTTAATATTACTCAACTATACAGACTGTAAAAACAGAAAATTGGTATATGACTTGCTTAAAGGAGTGGTTCATACCAGGAGCAACCCTGAGCCACAGAGAACATTTGGCAAGATTTCTGTTTTCTACAAATGAGGGGCGCCAGGGACACCAGTGATGTTTCTCAATACCCCACAATGCATATGGAAGCCCCCACAAGTGTAACTTACAGAACCCCAAATGCCAATACTCTTAAGCGTGAGAACCAGTGCTTTCAAGTTCCTCATTATAGATGACCCTTAGAGTTTTGCATAATCTGAAGTTTAAACCAGAACACAAAAAGAAAGAAAGAAGAGAGAGAGTGGGAGGGAAGGAGGGAGGGAGGGAGGAAGGGAGGGAGAAAGAGAAAGAAAAAAGAAAGAAAAAAAGGAGGGAGAGAGAGACAGAAAGAGAAAGAAAGAAAGAAAGAAAGAAAGAAAGAAAGAAAGAAAGAAAGAGAGAGAGAGAGAAAGAAAGAAAGAAAGAAAGAAAGAAAGAGAGAGAGAGAAAGGGAAGGAGGGAGGAAGGAAGGAAGGAAGGAAGGAAGGAAGGAAGGAAGGAAGGAAGGAAGGAAGGATAGAAAGAAGGAAACAAGAAAATCCTAGATGAGGAATTGTCAAACTATAAATTGCCATCAGGTGGCGGTATAACACAAGTAATAATCCAACCTCCCCTAGTATCTGCAAATTCTCTCTTTTAATTGATGCTATATATATACTTTCATGTTCTATTGGACAGATGAATAAAGTAAAAATATAAAGATGAAATTGATTTTACTCTTATTTAAGATAAATTCTCTTTCCTTAGGGCAAGGATTTTTTTTCCTGAAACAGCTTCATGTATCCCACAATGGCCTGCAATTCACTATGAAGACAACCTTGCCTCCATCCCCAGAATTCTGTGATTACAGGTACTCCATCAAGCCCAGTTTTGAGATGTGCTAGAGGTATAATCCAGGGGATCGTTCATGCAAGGCAAGCATTCTATCAATTGAGCTATATCACTGCTGGGTAGAAGACAGCTTAAATTTGAGATAGTTAAGGCAGGCTTCATGATACATGCCTGTAACACAAGAGTCAGGGGGATCTCTGTGAATTCGAATTAGCCAAAAATGAGGCTGTCTCAAACAGCAACGAATAGATCTCTTACATATTTTTTTCAATATTAACCCTTTAAAATATACTATGGAATTTATTTAAGCACATGAAAAATCATGTTCCAATATCTCAAAGCCACATGTGCCTAGAGGATACAAAGCACACAGTAGGCATCTAGTATATGTTTGTCAAATATTCTTTTATACTACTTTGATTTGTCCTCATTACAGGAGTAACAAGGTAATAATGTTCCACTACTGACATTGCCTAATTGTCTTAGCCTTTTGTTTGGCATTTAAATTGTTTCCAATTTTCATTCTTTGGAATAAGCATGCAGTAAGCATCTGGTCCAAATATGATTTTGCATGGAATAAATAAACAATATGCCACATTTTGCCAAATAAGCCCACTTAGATTTCTAGCAGTTCATATTTAGTTATTAAGGACTCTGCTGCGACTCTAGAAAGGCATATACTGCTGAAGATTATGATGACAAAGTTAGTAACGCATTTTTTTTTATCTGAAGTAGCATCTATAATAGTGAAGTGTATCATGCTAGGTACAAGTTAAGGTTGATAATTGCCAGACTGAGGCAGTTAAATACACAGCTCTGAGTGAATCTGTTTTGTTTCATTTTTATTAATTACAATTTATTCACTTTGTATCCCAGCTGTAGCCTCCTCCTTCCTCCCCTCCCTCTTCTTCCCTTATGCCCCTCCCCCAAGTCCACTGATAGGGGAGGACCTCCTCCCCTTCCATCTGACCCTAGCCTATCAGGTCTCATCAGCACTGGCTGCCTTGTCTTCCTCTGTGAACTAGTAAGGCTGCTTGCCCACTCAGATGGTGAATCTATATTTTTAAAGCAATTTTCCAGCCTCCATTTTAGTCAAGAAACTAGGAAGAAATTAAAAACTGAAGAAAACAACAAAAATGGAAACTAACTGTCCCGCTTCGGCTCTGGCCCCGCCCCGGTACCCAATAGGCACTCAGCTTTCCGCTGGGACCGCCCCCACAAGCGAATTCCCTCCCCGCACCGCCCTCTATTTATGCAACCATTATGACAGCGTCACAGGCAGGACTTCCGTCTTTCTAAACCCATACCGGAAGCGCCATTCTCGTTGCCCAGGCGACATTCCCTTTGTGTCCCTGCCCTCCTCCGTTCCCCCGCCCCCACAACGAGAAGTAGGCCCATTGTTGCCCACCGCCCGAGATCTGAAAGCTGCGTGCCCACAAGGTGACTTCGGGGACTGATAGGTTGTTTTTGGGGGAATAAGGGTACAGTAGCTTGGCAGCCCTAGGCCTAATTACCACAGAATCATAGAGTACTCTCTTGGCTGTCACGTTGTGGCTTTAATTACCGTCACTCGGCAGCACGAGGTGGCTGCAGAGACCCGTGAGAGTCCCAAACCCTAACAAATTGTTAGAGAAGACTAGTTCCAATTTATGCTGTCAACCGCTCAGTGCTTCCTAGTCCCTGTATGTCTGCTAACGATACTAATGCCCGGGCCCCCACCTCAGACTATCAGAGTCCAAATCTTTAGAAATGAGGTTCAAAGACGGGAACTTTTTTTTAAATCCATGGTGTAATTCAAACGTGCTGTGGTTCACCGTGTTGCAGGTCTATAGATGAACTGTGATTTTACCTAAACACCCCTAGCTCAGGACACATCCTTGGAGAGATGTCTTAAGATACGAACAATAAAATAAATTAGTTTTGTTTCAGCACCCTTGCAACTTTGTGTCAGGAGTCTTAGTGGAAATTATCTGGAGAACATTTAATAGTTGCTGTGGGTAACCAGAGAGCCTTGTGTTCTGAACCACTTTCCCTGAACTGATTGTTAGAAACTTGTTGCACAGGCTAGGCTCTGGACTCAACTGTTGTTACTGATTTTGTTTGGTTGGGGTGGTTTTGTTTGTTTTGTTTTGTTTCAACCAAAAGCCCAAACATTCTTGAAATCTTTAGACTAAAAGTTAATAACATAAAGCTTCTAGGGTTATTTATTTTCACTACTCCTATGAATTTAAAAGCCCAATTTATGCTAGCATAATTTGTCAGAATAACAATCTCTTTAGGGTGATACTGTGAAGAGAAACTATGTACATATGCTTTGGGTAAAGTTAACAAAGCTGAGTTCACCTTAAAGTATATAATTCCCTCTATTGACTGCTGAGCTGGGAAAGTATATAAACTTGCAGAGAGACATTTTCATTCTAAAACCCATTTACATCTGGCAAAAGATTATTTTGTATTTTTTAAAATCCAACGTTTAAGGAGAAGTTGAGATAAGAAGGATGGCAGGAAATTAAACATGGCTGGATGGAGTATAGATAAGAGAGTTCACAAACACACTATAGAACTCTCGGAATTACTTCTTTATGTTAAGAAATCCACCCATAAAACACTAGGACAAGTGAATACAAACTAGAACTTTGATTAAGGACAAATGAATTGAAAATATATTAATATATTTAGACATTTGGAGCTTTTTTAGTTTTTTGTTTTTAGTTACTACCCCTTAATAATTTTAGGTAGGAGAGAATATTATCAGGATACAACAGACAATCTCAACAATGCAGTAGCCTCCAAAGGCAGGAGATGAAACCTGTTACTTTCTCTGGTGGAAGAAAAATAGGAACTCTAAAAGGAATAAATTGTAGGATCTATCCTTCCAATTCATTGCCCAGAGCAAGTATAGTATTAAAAAAATAAAAGAAATTATTAAGAATATGTTCATAGAAAGAAATTTGAAATAAGTCTCTGGAAATATAAAAGTAGCCTTAACTGCTTAAACTACTCAAGATTTTTGCTACTATGCCAACAATTTTGAGTGTGTGCTATATTCTGACCTTACTCTTTTATGGTCACACTAGGATGTGTTGTACAAAAGACATACCTGAGATGAAATGAACACTATCTGTTTCTTCTTTTGAACTGGGTTATCATCATCATTCTCTGTTGATAATTCTGTGATGTTTCTGAGTCCTTTTCCCCGGCCTCATAGTTCATTGCTGATTGATGCTAGCCACATAAGGGATTCGGTGGGCTTGCAAATAAAGCCATTCACAAATCTTTATCACCCTTGCTGATAAAGTAAACAATGCCTTTCTGTGGGTGGAATATGATTTGAATGGGGGAAGGGCAAGAATTGTTAACTATACCTGGTTAGTCTTCTCCCCTACCCCATGCCTTCCTTGTGACAACATTTACTACAACACCCAAATAAAGCATAAACTTGAGCCTGAGCTTGAGAGAGTGAAAAAGAATTAAGTAGTATTTACTAGTCTCCCTCCATCTTCAGCTTTAAAAGTGGCTGTTAGAGAAGGAAGCACAGTGAAATGTGTGCTTGTAAGCAGGCCCTGTGTCCAGCTAAAGATGGAATTTGGGGAATTGGCAAGGTGGCTCAATGGGTAAAGGCACTTGTCATCAAACCTGACACATACATGTAATAAACAAATGTTCTTGTTTTTAAAATAGAGCTTTGACTCCTCCTATGGATGTAATTAGGCCATTTGGACTTGTGCCATGTTTAATGTCTAAATTACTAAGTAGCGACCATACAAAGCCATAAGAAAAACAAATCCATGAGGATGTCAAGCCTGATATGCTCAACCAGCTAGGGTGGCATGGAGACAGCCAAAGTAGGAGGGTAAGAAAGAGACTGTCAGAAATTCCCATTTCATCATTTTTTTTCCTCATTGAGCTATTGGTTTTTGTATGATTGAAATGCATCTCTGCTGCGGTTGGCATTGCATGTTCAGGAAGATTTCTTGCAATCACATAGAATTAATTTCTGTTACTCATGGTGCCTTCATTCACTTCTTTTGGTCTTTCTTCTTTTTAACAAGCAGTGTGTTGTGAGGGTCTTAATTACAACCCCAAACTGTCAGTCTGGTTCGGAGTCAAATCAGTGGGGACCTCAACAGAAAAAAAGTTGACCTTCCAGGCTGTAGATACAAAGACTAATGTAATAATTTATTTTTAATATCTTCCTTTGCAAATGAGCTTTCATGTATTTAATTTTCAAAATTGTACAAAAGGAAGATAAAGAAGAAAGGAAATTCATATAATAGAGTACACATTATAGAGGAGTTTGTGGTTTAATTTTACTTTCTGGTTGCCATGACATATCCTACATCCTTTATTTATAAGAATACAGAACAGGGTCAGAAAAAAGGGGAGGAGGTCCTCCCCAATCAGTAGACTTGGAAAAGGGCAGGGAGGAGATGAGGGAGGGAGGGTCGGATTGGAAGGGAATAAGGAAGGGGTATACAGCGGGATACAGAGTTAAGAAAATGTAACTAATAATAAACATTAAATTAAATTTAAAAAAAAGAATATAAATATTCAAGAAAAAAATAGTATGTAAATATACAATGTGAAGATTACATATAATGCCATTGCCTTTCAATGGAGCATTATCATAGGTAGTTTTTTAAGTGATTTAATGGAAATGGTCACATTTTATCTGTGGAAAAATGACAAAACTCCTAACTGCTGTTCTTCATGTATAGTTGTGCATTTAAAAAACATGTCTTTCAGAACAAGGACAAATGTCCTTTTTTTTCCATTTTCTTTTTTGCCTTAGAAAGGCTGTATGGGAAAATATATCATTCAAGACTGGGAGGCTCTGTCTTGTCTGTAAGCCTCAGCAGTGTTTAGTGAATGACCTCAATGCTGTTGTGGTTTTTTTTTTTTTTCCTCCCTTTGGTGGGTGAGGACAGACAATGAATGGTCTCTGTATTCCCCAGAGCTCAGCTGGGTGGTGACCCTGTTGCCGTTGTGTTCCCTGTGGAGGGCTGCCCAGTTTGCAGAGCTGTGGATCCGGCCTTCCCTGACATTGCCAATCACTTTTCTCTCAGTTCTATCAACCCTTCAGAAGAAAGCTTGTTCAGTCCCTGAAGGCTTTTTTTTTCCAGAAAGAAATAAGAGACTGTTGGGTAGAGGGAAGTGAAAGATAAAATGGAAGACCTTAACACCTGCTGCCCCCATATGATTTCTCTCCTTGAGATGAGAGTACTGTTGTAATTCCTAGGAGTATTGTTGTGTTGGCTTTGCCAGGGATGCCAAATGTTCTTCCTAAATCCTTAACCAGCTTAATAATGTTACCAGACCCATTCTGACAGGAGCTGTTTTTAGGAGCAGATTCCCTTTGCAAAGGAGCTTGTGTACTCCGTGTGCATATAGCTACTGAAAACCGCCATGCCTGCTTCTTCATGTCCTTGTCTACTAATAGGAAGTTAGTAATCTACAGCAGAAATCATGGACCTACCCATGCTTTTGATTGGTACTATATTGCAAGTCTTTTTTGGTAATGCTTTTCTAAAAAGTTTTTGTATATTTGAATGTTTTGCTTTCATGTGTATAAACGTACAGTACCCAAGAAAGCCAAAAGATGCAACAGATTCCCTGGAAGTGGATTTAAAGATGGTTGTGAGCATTCTGTGGGTTCTAGGAGTTGAGCCCGACCTCTTCAAGAACAACCAGTGCTCTTAACCCCTGAGCCATCTCTCCAGCTCTTGTTGGTGCTTTTAATTAAGTCTTTAAATGTCTATGAAGAGCTTTAATAAATGTTCCAATTTCCTTACTTACTAATGGAAACTTAGTAATCACTTACCAAGATTAGAGCTGATCATAATTTCTTTTTTGTTTTTGCTAGTCTTAAAGCCTGATAATTTGTGAAATATGTAAGAATTATATGATTTCTCCACTGGCTTCCAAGTAGATATTTGAGATGCTCAATGTATTATGGATAGAACACACAAGGTATTATCATATTAACCTAGAACTGTGATCTACAGGAAGCTAGGAATTGAGTTGATATGTTTTAAAGGGAGGTGTTATGTGTTTCTATTTAAAGCAAAGATGAACATTATTAACATTATGTAGAAAATAATTGTGTGTGGCCAACAACCCTGAAATATTTCCTATCTGGGCCTTTACTGAAAATTGCTGGCATAAAATATGAAAGGTAATACCAGAAGTACTGAACTGATAATTATAAAGTTCTATGAAAATTGCTATTCCTTTGGACATGTTTCTCTATACTTTGTCTTATTTGAGTTTGAGAGATTAATTTATAAATGCAAATCTTAACTCTTCAAAATTATAATTTTGAATATCTATAGGATTTTAGGGATCCTAAAGTGTAAAAGAATAAATATGATCTAAGAATTCAAGAAGAAAAAAATAAAGCCAAGGGTGAAGTGTGCATTTCTTATATCCAGCCCCAATGACACTGTACTTGCTGAAGAATGGCAGCAATTTGATTATAAGTATTCCAGTGGCCAAAACTAATTGAATTTCTCTTCTGCTTGGTATTCAGAACCAAACAAAACTGCATCTTTTCTTTATGACCTAGGTCTTCGAAGTGCCTGGTATCTGGGTGGGGTCTAGAACTCTATAGAGTGCTTGCTTAGTTTGCACAAGAACCTAGGCCTGGCTCACAAGGAATTTGATCAGTTTACCCATGTTATCTTCTTGGTGGTGGGACACACCAGGCTGGAGGTGAACCTCTTCCCGTTGGAAAGCTGAAATCTGCTTTCTTTAATGACTGGTTTTCACTGGCTTCTGGTGTGCAGAAATGCTTAGAGTGATCACTGGGTCGTCCCTGCTACATAATATCACTGCAACCTGCTACCTAATTGTTGAACCCAAATCATAAGCAACCTAAGTGTAAAGTAGAACTCCTTTGAAGTCCCTTTTAATCACAGCCATTGACATTTGAGCTGCCAGGAAAATGTTACTAATTACATTGAACCTCTTTAAGGGTTACTACCTTCTTTCCTTACAGTGCCTAAATGTCTAGCTGAGCAGAACAACGTCTGCTGTCTTATAGATTTTCGGCATATGCTAGTACCTTTAAGGTCAGATTGAATAATTTTTCCAGTTATAAGCCAAAACAAGATTTGGCTTCTAATAAACATTCATTCACAGCAGGGTTTATTAAATTTGAGTTTATCAGACTTGACCCACTTCTGTAATTTGTAAGGCATAGAATGAAGTCTAGATTCCACGCTCTTTGGTTTGGTGTGCTTTGATTTGCTTGTTTTATGTTTTGTTTTGTTTTGAAACAGGATCTCACTATATAGCTCAGGCTGGTCTGGAACTGGCTGCTATCTCCCATGTTGGCCTCAAACTTACCATTCTCCTGCTTCAGACTCCTGAGAACTGGGATCACAGGCATGCACTGCCACACCCAACTAGGATGCAAACCTCTTCATTTCCCAGAGACACATGATGACTCTTGGACTGTTTTCCTTTAATGCTTATGCTATTTGTTAACCTAAAAAACAAATTTGATTAATGTGAGCACATGGAATTCAGGTTAACGTCACCTTGTGCTGCAGGCACTGAAAAGTCTTCAGGTTTCAGTGATATAAATATGAAACTAAGCTTTCGTGAATTAGCCACTAACAGCCTCCCCCTTACAGCTTAACACTTAAAAGTATGCACTGATTTGTACCATAATTGCATTTGCCCTTTATTTTGTTGGGTACTAACACACCCATTACTATTTTCTATTTCCTCAGTAGCCTATAAAGAGCATTAGCTATTAGCTGCGTTTCCAAAAAATGGACCCTGCTTTAAACCTTTAAATTAGAGTTGAAAAGTGAAATCAGTTCAGCTTACACACTCACTGCATTTGATAACTTTCTCCTGGTTTCCTTCCACTGTGCATGTGTATTCCTGTGTTTAGGAGAAGTTTGCTGAATGTCATGTCAACGCTCTTAGCAATGCCCTATTTGAAAGATTGTTACATTTCAATATGATTGCTTTTCTTTAAGATAAATCTAAAAGAAATGGAATTAGTCACTTTGACACACAAAATATGTCAGCTTTATTTTTAAGAGTTTGAGGTTATTTTGGATTCTATCCTCTAGTTAAGTAAGATAAATAGGGCTTCTTCAGTATCTGCTTTCTAAAATTTTGAAAACTTTAAGATTCACATTTTTTGTGTGTTTTTGAGTCATACAATCTTAAATTTGCATGCATTTTAAGGTACTATTTTTGTTAACTTTTTGTTTGTGGTTAAGATCTCTGTAGCCCAGACTGCCCTTGACCTTGACCTTGAGGCATGGTGATCCTCATGCTTCAGCCTCCCAAGTGCTGGAATTACAGTTATGTACGACCACACTTGATATAACTTTTTTTAAAAGTACATTCTGGTGTTGCCAAGCGTTTTAGAAACTAAACAAGGAGAAGAAATTCACTTTTAATTTATTATTAGTGTGGATATGTGTGTGCAAAGGCCAAGGTCAGAGGAAAACTTTTGGGAATCTTTCTTTGCACTGTGGGGTCCAGTGTAGCAAGCACTTCTGCCTGCTGAGCCATCTTACCTACCCTAACATTTATTTTAACTGGTTTGTAAAAGATGTGCAAGCAAAGCTTAGCAGACTAATTAGGGAAAGATTATCATATGAAACTAAAGCCAAGACTGTAATAACGTCTTGTTTGAAGAGGTTTCTTTAAGTCCCAAACTTAAAGCCATTTGAAAGATATAGTCTTTTCAGTCAGTTGAAAAGATACAATCTCCTCAAGCCTCAAGAGAACCCAAGATTGGGCTGGAAAGTTGGCTTCATGGGTAAAAATGCCTCCCACTACGCCTGACAACCTGAGTCAAACCCAGAGCCCACAGGAAAAAGGAGAAGTGACTCATTCACGTGTGACTTCCATATACACATGCCATGGCACACACAGCATACCCACATACATAATAACTAATAAACAAATGGTCAAAAAGAAAAAAAAAGAAGCTAAGGTTATTTTAAATAGATATTAGCCTAAGCTTAAAAGTAGTAAAGTAGGCCAACGGTGATGGTGCACACCTTCAATCCCAGCACAGAAGCAGGTGGATCTCTGTGAGTTCTAGGCCAGCCTGGTCTACCTAGTGAGTTCCAGAACAGCCAAAGCTACACAGTGAATCCCTGTCTTGGAAAACAAAACAGAAAGAAAGTACTAATAAAGTAATATTGTAAGCTTGGAGGCCATGCCTTGTACAATTTTTTGTATATACCTACTGCTAGATTATGTGGTTATTCTCATAGACTTCTTTTAGTAAACAAGTAGTTGAATACAGAATCAGGCAGAGTCCTTTGACTCAATCATACCTAAGGAGGTTGTTCTTCCCCACACCACAAAGTCACAACCTAGGTTACAGGTTCTTGTTACATGAAGATGAGGCATGATGTTGGGGAGGGGTAGCCACTTCACAATTATTTTGAAGACCATGAAATAGCTGTGACTGTGCTGTGGCCCTGCTGATCAAATGTTTATACTGTGTTTGTCTTTCAGTACTCATTTGGACTTTGTCAGTGAGAAAACGGCATCAATGGTAAGAGTACCTATTTTTCTTATAAACTTTTTAATGTTTGTCTGTATTGACATTTAGGATGAGGATGTAGGTCAAAGTAGAGCACTTGCCTAGCATGTGCTGTACTCCATGTTTAATCCCTAGTACTGTTTCCCCCCCCCTCCAAAAATATCATATTTCATGATGCTGAGCAAAGAAAAAAAAAGTTTGAATATCACAAATCCAAAATACTCAGTCCAAAAGTGTTGCATAATACACTCTATATTTCATATTTCAAAATAGTACAGATTACGGATTTTCAGTGAAAAAAATATATGCAGATATTCCAAAAGCCACTAAAATCTGAAACACTTCTGGCCCCAGCATTTCTAATAAGGGACACTCATCCTGTCTGTCAGACAACTAAAAGTAAAGCACCATATCTTACAATAGTAAACATATGTCTCAGACATTGAGGAGTGCACTAAGCCAGTAGATTAGGAGAAAACAAGAAAAGGAAACAAATGCTAGCATAGTCATTAGAATGGGCAGGGCATTTCTAACTTGGAGCTATTACAGATGAACAAGATGACAAGATGTCAGAACTTTTATCTTTCCTTGTCTTAACAAAAAAAAACAGTACCAGTAAAGTACAAGAGGGTCTAGTTGGGAAGAACAGCATTAAGAGTGGGAGAGGATGAAACAGGGTACTCAGGGGTAAATATAATCAAAATACATCGTGTACAAGTATGATGACTTCACCATAAAACTGTTATTACATATACTAATAAAAAAAATCTAAAATGAATTCTTACTAGAAATAAATACTGTGAATAAAATGAAGGCATTAAAAAAAACAATCTTCATTTGCCTCTGTCCTCAATGTCTTGGTTTCTCTTTCTGTTGTGATAAAATACTCAAACAAAAGCAATTTAAAGCAGAAAAAATCAGTCATGGTTCAAAAATACAGTTCATCATGGCAGTAACCACATATGCAATCAGGAACATGGGGTGATGAATGCATTCTTTGGCTCCATTTATATAGTCTAGGACCCTCACCAGGGAATGGTGCAACTGACTGGAAAGGTCTTTCTGATTCAGTTAACGTAATCAAGATAATTCTCCCACACATGGTCCCAGAGATCTCCCTCCCAGATGATTCTAGATCCTGTGGAATTGTCAACACTAATAATCACATTATATAAGCCTCTGTAAACTTCAGCTAGTGTACTTTGGGGACCTGAAATACAGATACTCCGGAAATATGTTATGCTTGCCCTCTGTTGTGTGGACACACCTATTTTACACTTTCTTTTTTTTTTTTTTTTTTTTTAACTTAGTAGCATCCATGTCAAAAGTAATGCAGTGGTCTGAATGAGAAATGCTGCCTATAGGCTCATGTACTTGAACACTTGATCCCCATTGATGGCAGTGTTGGGGAGGTTATGGAAAACTGTAACCTTGCTGTTGGAAGTACATCACCTGGATTGGGCTTTGAGAATGTGTAGGCTTGCCCCACTTCCAGTTCACTCTCTCTGTTTCATGTTTATGGTTAAAGGTGTGATCTCTCAGCTTTCTGCTCAGGCTACTGTGCCTGCTGCTTGCTGCCATTCTTCCTGGCCAATCATGGACTTTTTAACATTCCAGAAGTGTAAGCCCTCTTTAACTCTTTCTTCTGTAGCCTGTTTTTTTGCTCCTGGTATTTTATCACAGCAACAAAAAAGTAACTGAGAGCACTCAGTAAAAGTTGTTGGTTAGTTGGTTAAACATTTGAAGATTCTCTAGAGGATGAACCATTTGATGTCTATCTAACATGTCTATTCCATAGGCGTCAAAAAGGAAAGCCACTACATCTTGGTATTCTCACCCAATGTATGCAAGATACTGGCAGCATTATCATCATGCCGTGATTTGGATGCGAAGCTATCAGAAGGCCTACAAAAAGGCCGTAGATTTTTGTTTTAATTCTCCATGGTTTTCTCCTTACGGATTTTTTCCCTGGAGCTCTCTTACTTATGTGGCTGGGTGCCCTTGGTTCTATCCAGGCCGGTACACAGCCTGGCAGTGGTCTCCCTGTAATGTTTCATATCGCAAAAGCCGTGGGCATCGTCGGCATAACAGGAACAGGACCAAGTCCCGAAGAGGGAATAAAGCGCTGTGTAAAGTGCAAGAGCTGGAGTCAGATTCAGATAATGAAGTAGAATACGACCTGAGCAATATGGTAATCACTGAGGAGCTCCGCCAATACTTTGCAGTGACCGAGAGGCACAGAGAAGAGCGGCGTAAGTTCAGACCCTTTACCTTTCACTCCTTTCACTGCCCTGATATTTGCATCTCTTTTCTCCTCTAACATACCAAGTTATTTTATAACTTTTGGTTTAGGTACAGGTACTAATCTAAATCGGGTTCTAAACACAGAAATACTGTAGTGATGTTGTTACCTTAGTCACATTGGACCTCAGAGTTGTTTTGTAGTTGTTTTATTAAAGCAAACTGTTCCTTTGAGTTCTTAATAATACAGCTACCATTTTTGAGCATCAGACATTCAACCAGATGGAATGTGTATGTGTGCCTGCCTGTATGCCTTCTCCAGGCAGCAGTCCTTTGAGGCATGAAACTCATTTTACAAATGAGAAAAGTGAAGCTTATGGAGGTTAATTACATAACTATTCATTTGCTATTGGGATTCAACTCCTCCAGACTGCACTCTACTGTACATCTTTCTCTGTGCCATGCTACTCCCTGACACTATGATTTTTCCCAAATGCTTTACTCTGAGCACTTCTCTGAGACACAGCTCAGAGCTGGTTTGGTATAGCTCTCTGCATTACAGAGTCAGTGTGAACCTAAACAGAATAAGAAAATGCCTCACATGCACAGCTTTTCTGTTTGGTCCATACTACAGGTCAGAGGATTGCAATCAATGTCTTAGAGCACAGTAAGTCCAAAAGCAGGAATGTTTCTATTTAAAATTGCCAGTGTGCACCAGACTGTTTATAAGTGTCCTTGAAATTTTACAAATAGTTATTTTCTGATTATAACCAATATTCAGCCTCAATATGCCTTTCGGCGGGGGTCTCATGTGTTTTATATAGAATTTTTATTTGGTTGGTTAATTGGTTGGATTTCTGAGATAGCCTTCTGTGTGGCCCAGGCTCACCTGGAACTTATGATCCTCCTTCCTCAGCCTCTTGAGTATTAGGAGTAAAGATATACACCACTATAGCAAGCTTCTTACCTGCAGTTTTCAAATAAACAGAAACATAGAAGCTACAAAATAAGATCGTTTCATTTCCATTTTAAAAATCTGTGCCCTCTTAACAACAGATTAGCATTTATTGATCCCAAGTAGATGCCAGGAATTAAGCGCAGGCTTTGGATGAAGTATTATTTCCTTTATTATCTGCCTGTGACTCTTCGCTAAACCATTTGTTCTGTTAGTTTTTTTTTTTTAAGATTTATTTATTATTATTCATACAACATTCTGCCTACGCAGCAGATCTTACTATAGATGGTTTTGAGCTGCCATGTGGTTTCTGGGAATTGAACTCAGGACCTTTGGAAAAACAGCCTGTGCTCTTAACCTCTGAGCCATCACTCCAGTCCCTTGTTCTGTTAGTTTTACCAACTTTTTTCTGATTAAACTGTTGATTTCTTTGGTGCATATTACAGAGTATATCCAGGGACTAGAGAAATGGCTCACTGGTTAAGATCACTTGTTGCACTTGTAGAGGACCCAGGTTCCATTCCTAGCATTCACATGGCAGTTCACAAGCACTGTAATTCCAGTTCCGGGAGATCCAATGCGTCTTCTGACTTTTAGGGCCAGGAGGCATACACATGGTGCACACACAGGCAAAATACCCATTCACATAAAATAAAAATAAAAATAAAAAAACAATAATTAAAAAGAAAGTATATCCCTCCAGGTCTTTGTATCTCCCCCTTCTTTCGAAAGATTCCCTGCACTCTGCCCAAAGTTTGGTTATGAGCCTCAGCATCTGCTTTGATACACTGCTGGGTGGAGCCTTTCAGAGGCCCTCTGTGGTAGGCTCCTGTCCTGTTCCCTGTTTTCTCCCTCTTCAGATGTCCATCTCGTTTGCCTTTCTGACTGAAGATTGAGTATCTTACCCAGGGTCCTCCTCCTTGATTAGCTTCCTTAGGTGTACGGATCTTACTATGATTATCCTATATTATATGTATAATATCCACTTATAAGTGAGTATATACCCTGTGTGTCTTTCTGCTTCTGGGATACCTCACTCAGGATGATCTTTTCTAGATCCCACCGTTTGCCTTCAGATTTTATGATTTCTTTGTTTTTAATTGCTGAGTAGTATTCAATTGTGTAAATGTACCACAATTTCTGTATCCATTCCTTAACTGAGGGACATCTGGGTTGTTTCACAAGGAGAGCAACAGAACCAAGAAATCTGGGCCCAGGAGTCTTTTCTGAGACTGATATTCCAAACAGGGACCATGCATGGAGATGACCTAAAACCCCTGCACAGAAGTGGCCCATGGCAGCTCAGTGTCCAAGAGAGTTCCCCAATAATAGGAACAGGGACTGTCTCTGACATGAACCCAGTGGCTGTCTCTTTGATCACCTCCCTCTGAGGGGGGAGCCGCCTTACCAGTCCACAAAGGAAGACAATGAAGCCAGTCTTGATGAGACCTGATAGACTAGGGTCAGATGGAAGGGGAGGAGGACCTCCTGTTTCATTGGACTGGGAGAGGGACTTAGGAGAAGATGAGGGAGGGGCCTACAGCTAGGATACAAAGTAAATAAACTGTAATTAATATAAAAAATAAAAATTAAGAAAATGTTGAAAAAAAAGAAAGTAAATCTAAGCAACTGTATGAAAATAATACTTACTGTTTTGCATAAAGTAAATTTCTTTCTTATTATATTTATTTATTATTGGAGGTACTGGTCAGACCATATACTTGCTGGAGTTGGTTTTCTCCTCTCTACCACAGAAATTGAACTCTGGTCCTGAGGCTTGATGACAAATGCTCCTACTTACCAAGCCATCCCATGAGCCCCATGGAGTACTTTTTTTTTTCTTGATCCTCAGAAATAAACTGAGGATTTCTCAAAATTCATTCATAGCAGTAATCAGTCTAATTTAGACATGAACCACAAATGAAGAGGTAAGGTGTTAGAGTGTGTTTACATATAATTGTAATGCTATGGGTTACAGCATGGGTTAGAGAACTCAGTATTTTGTAAAATATTATTGGCAAGGAAAGGCAAATCGGAATTTTTAAACTTAATATTTCAGAAGCAATTGATCCACAGGAATATGGCACTTAAACAGTCTATCATCATCAGTGAGTTTTTTAATATAATTCTTCAGCCTGGACCTCAAGCATGTCCTTGTCTGTGATCTCTGCTCTTCCCGTTGATTAACATTTTTATATGCTGAAAGCACAGAACTTAACATGGAATAACGAATCCTGGAGGGTATTAGGGAGCTGGTCTACTGGATAAAGTGCTTATCTCACAAACATGAAGACCAGGGTTCAGATCCCTGGCACCAACACAAAAGCTGGCTAGGCATGGCATCCACTTGTAATTTCAGTACTTGGGAGGTGAAGTGTTGATCCCCAGGGCAAGCTGACTTTCTAGACCGAACTTTTGGGTAGCTCCAGGTGCCTTAGTAACATAAATAATAAAGAAACAAATAAATAAGGTAGGGAACACTCAAAGGAGACAACTTAGTAATAAATAAGCATACAGGAAAACAAATAAGTGTGGTAGGGAGTAATCAAGGGAAACACCTGGCACCAACTTCAGGTCTCTGAAGGTACTTGAGCACAGACATAAGTACTGAAGATACGGCTGTTGCTCAGTGGTAAGGTCATTACTAGCATGTACCTGGTCCTGGGTTTTAGCCTCAGTATAGCAAAAAGAAAAAAAAAATGTTTTTGTGCCTTGAAAGCACTGATGCTTTCCATTATGTGATATGTTATCATTTCCTCCCAATATAACTTCCTCAAGATGTTAGTTATAACTGTGCTTTTGAGAAAATAGACAGTTGTAACATTTTAAAGGTAAGCTGTAGTTTCAATTATTAGGAAAAATGTTTAGCATTCAGAAGGGTAAATTTTCATTATAAGTGGCCATCAGTTGAAATTCCATGATGCTTAGAAGGAGCATGAATGAAGTTACCATTTCCCACAGGAAAAGGGCCCTCCAAAACAAACCCTCCCGCCCTTGTTTTGCTGTTGAGCCAGTCAGCTCTTTATTAGATGTGATTCAAAGATAGATGTTGGCCCAAAACAAGGACATGTTCACAGAGAATGTGATATTCTTAAATGAAGTCCAAATAAAATCCTGCTTAAAATGATGTATAGAAGAGTGTCTGTGGTATACAGCCCACAGCTACTGATCCAAACAAGGGGTAGAGCCAGGGTCCAAGGCAGTGGAAGGAGAGTTGTTACCAGGTAGCTGGGGAGAAATGGAGCGTGCTCTGGACTTTGAGCAGGACCATCCATTTTGAGTGAGGAAAAAAAGTAAGTCCTCTTGTTGCTTAGACTGCTGTGTTTTTACTGACGAGTCCAGGTGTGTTTGTTCATCTCATGGGAAACATGAGCTCCATTATGTCTTGTGTACCCCATTCAGAGGATTTCTACTGTGTGTCCATAGTGACTGACCCGTCAGTTAGTATACTGAAAACCCCCTCTTTCTCCTTCATTTTGTCCTCTAGAAAGCCTAGAGCATATAACAATGCTTACAGTCCAGTATTTGCTGAGCTGTTTTGGTTTAGATAATGTGATTAAAGTAGAAAATCACACTGACTCTGCACCATTGCACTATGGATTCATCTCATCTAGCACAGATGTTCAGAAAAAAAAAAAAAAAAAAAAAAAAAAAAAAACAACCATTGAGATGAAGGTCATACAAAAGTGGAAGGGGTGAGTAAATGCACTTTCCCTGTAAAAGCTAATAATGGTGATTGTCAAAGCTAAAATGTAACTTCAGGGTTACATCTGACGTGGAATGAAGAAACAGAATAAGGAGACCAATCAAATGACTGCTCGGCAAGCACTTGTGTTTTGAGTCTGTTGCTGATGAGCCAGAAAGGAAGCCTTCTTGATTTATTCAACTTTGTGCTGTCCCATAGTTATGCTATCATCATTAACTTTGGCAACATAGCAGAAAATCTCATCAGAAAGACATGCTAATCCTAGAAAAATGAGGGGAAATAACATTCTTTAATACTCATTATTGTAGTGCTTTGTCTCTCAAACTGTATTGCCTTTGAGCTAATTATCTGTGAAATATTTAATGAGTGTTTTCCTGCTGTGTAAAATCTCCCTAAAGTCCAAGTAGCTTCCTGTGATTATTTTCTTTCCCATTATGGACTATAATTCTACATTAGTAACACCTCTTTTTTAAAACCATGTTTAATTATGGCAGAGGTTATATAAGTGGAGGCCAGAAGCTATGGATCCCGGGGAACGTGGAATTACAGGCAGCTGTTAGGTCCCCTGCCATGGGTGCTGGGAACCTAACCTGGATCTTCTGCTAGAGCTGCCCAAACTCTTAACCACTGAGCCATCTCTCCAGTCTCTTGGTAACATCTTGTAGATGCATAGACTGAGTCAAAACCATGTGCTCTAAACTGAAACGAGTCCAGTGAAGGTTTTCCTTTAAAACATATTACTATTGGAGGTGAGGTGTGTTTGCATATTAATACATGCATATTAATCCTTGTAATTGTTTTGTAGGGTTGCTGTAGCAAATTGCAGGAAATGCATGGTCAAACAGCAGAGGCTCATCTTTTCACATCCAAAATTAATGTAACCACAGGGCTGCCTTTCTACAAAAGTTCTAAAGCAGTGCTTCTCAACCTTCCTAATGCTACAGGCCTTTAACAGAGTTCCTTGTGTTGTGGTGACCTCCAACCATGAAATTACTTCATTGCCACTTCATAACTGTAATTTTGCTACTGTTATGAATCCTAATGTAAATATCTGTGTTTTCTGATGGTCTTAGGTGACCCCTATGAAAGGGTCAATCAACCCCCAAATGGTTGTGAACTACAGCCTTGCTTCCTGCAGCTTCTGGTATCTCCCAGCATCTCTTCACTTGTAGCTTTGTTACAGCCTCTGTCTGTATGTGGCTTTCTCTGTGTGTCTCTGTGTCCTTTTCTGTTCAAATAAGATCGTTCACATTAGATTTTGGGTCTGCTCTAATCTGTTATAATCTCAGCATTATATTTTAACTTTGTGGGAAAAAAAAAAAAAAAACCTCTTCTTCCAAGTAAGCTCTCATTTGGATGTTCCAATGGTAAGGATATCCTGTTCAGCCTCTTCAGCTCTGTTTTGAATCTGGAATGGAACCTAAGTATTGTTTTGATTGGTAGGTAGCAAGTAAATTCTCTTGGCCAAATACTTTTCTGTTAGTCACATCTACCTATATGTATATGACTGTGTCTGTGTGAGTGGATGCCAGATGTGGTATTGGGACGTATTCTCAGAGGCCAGAGGGCATCATACCCTTTGTAGCTCCAGTTACAGGTAGTTGTGAGCTGCCCAACAGGGGTGCTGAGGATGAAATTTGGGTCCTCTGCAATAGCAGCATGCATTCCCCTGGGTCTCCCTATGTAGTTCTGGCTGTCTTGAACTCATGATGTACACCAGCCTGGTTTTGAACTCACAGCTATCTACTTACTTCTGCCTTCTGGATACTACCATTAAAGACATGTGCCATTAGGCACATATATAATGTATATTTAATAATAGTTTCAAGTTTGTAAAACTCCTTCTCGCCAACTCCAAGGTGTTAGTCATAAAAAAACAGGATTTACAAGGGTGAGTGTGAATAGCTGTATAAATGTCTTCCTTTACACTTGACTAGCTCGCTGCTATCTTCCCTTCCAGAGACTAACAGAGCAGCCCAACAAGGAAAGAATGATTTATACCATTGTTTTATTCTCCTACAGCCGTCTTGACTCCTTATCTCGAGGCATTCCTCTTGGAAACAATAGTGGCTACAGATAGTGTACTTTCTGCTATCAATTTCTCTCTTGACAGAGTCACTTACAAGATCTGTGTGATCTCACTTCACTTTACCTTCTACAGCATTGCATTGTTGACATTTTTATGTGGCTATTTACATAGGAATAAGAAGTACAGTACTGGGACTTGCTATGATTTAAACAAAAGTAGAGAAGGGAGAAACAAATTAAATAAATGCTTATTTTACAGGAATTTACTGAATGACTAGACTTTCAGGGTTCACCTGAACTAAACTAAACTGTGAACTGGTAAGTGAAGCCCCACACCCAAAAAAACCAGATTTCTTATGTAGCAGGGAGGCTATGAGTCAGATGAAGAGGGCCCACCTCATATACATACCTCATTTGTGCTAGTAAGAAATGCTACTTGGGGCTTTAGTAGATGGCCCTGTATAAAGCACTTGTCATAAAAGGACCAGCATTTGGAAACCCCTCCCCCACAGTGCTGACAAAAATGTCAGCTATGTGGCAGTCCACCTGTAATCCCAGCATTTGAGAAACAGAGACAAGGTCCAAGGAGGAAGCTGGCTAACCAGACTAGCTGCATCAGTGAGTTTAATCCCTGTCAGGTGATTTCTTGTTCCACCTCCTGTCCTAGGGTTAACTTTATTAAATCCTGTATACAGAAAACTCTAGAATTAAAGGTGTGCTAGGGCAGAACCACACCATAATCACCTGTTTACAATAAAAGGAAGTTCTTGCATTAAAGGTATGTGCTAGGGCTTAACCACACCTTGACAAAAGACAGGTTTTTACACAATCTTGGGGATCACAATGGGATGAAATATTCTGCAACACTGACTACTAAAAGATAATGAGAATCTGCAGGTCATGCCTCAGGATCTGAAGATCACCTTAGCTGCCCTAACAGGGTCCCAATTTACCACTGGAAAGGGCAACAGAAGGACCTTAGGGAGCATGTGAGGTGTGGCAAAAGTAGTAGCACCATTCACCAGTTCCTCTCCCTCATGTGCATAAATTTTATTTATTTTTTATTAATTACAGTTTATTCACTTTCTATCGAAACTGTAGTCCCTGCCCACCTCCACCCTCCCTCCTTCTTCTCCTCCCATGTCCCTCCCTCAGTCCACTGATAGGGGAGGCCCTCCTTCCCTTCCATTTGACCCTAGTCTATCAGGTCTCATCAGGACTGGCTTCATTGTCTTCCTCTGTGGCCTGGTAAAGCTGTTCCCCCCTCAGGGGGAAGTGATCAAAGAGCCAGCCAATGAGATGTTGTCAGAGACAGTCTCTGTTCCTATTACTAGGGAACCCACTTGAACACTGAGCTGCCATGGGCTCATCTGTACATCTGTGCACAGGTTCTAGGTTATCTCCATGAATGGTCCTTGGTTGGAGTATCACTCTCAGAAAAGACCCTTGTGTTCAGATTTTTTGGTTCAGTTTTTCTCCTTTGGATCTCCTGTCCCCTCTAGGTCTTTTTATCTCCCCTTCTTCCATAAGGTTCCCTGCACTCTGACCAGAGTTTGGCTGTTTGTCGCAGAATCTGCTTTGATACAATGCTGAGAAGAGTCTTTCAGAGGCCCTCTGTGGTAGGCTCCTGTCCTGTTACCTATTTTCTCCCTCTTCCAATGTCCGTCCCCTTTACCTTTCTGAATGAGGATTGAGCATCTTACCCAGGGCCCTCCTTCTTGATTATCTTCCTTAGGTGTACAGATTTTAGTATGATTATCCTATATTGTATGTCTAATATCCACTTAGAGTATATACCGTGTGTGTCTTCCTGATTCTGGGATACCTCACTCTGGATCATCTTTTCTACTTCCCACCATTTTCCTGCAAATTTTATGATTTCCTTATTTGTAGTTGCTGAGAGGTATTCCATTGTGTAAATGTACCACAGTTTCTGTATCCATTCCTCAGTTGAAGAATACCTGGGTTGTTTCCAGCTTCTGGCTATTACAAATAAAGCTACTACAAACATGGTTGAGCAAATGTTCTTGTTGTATACTTGAGCATCTTTTGGATTTATGCCTAGGAGTTGTATAGCTGGATCTTGAGATAATGTGCATATATTTCATGGTCATGTTCATGTCTATTCCAGGGAAACAGCAGCAGCGGGAAGCTGAGAGCCTGGATGACTATGTATATGCCGACCATGGCCTTTACTACAACCACCACCGATCAGTGGAACCCCCATCTGAAAGGCCTGGGGAGCGGCGACTTGCTGAGATGAAGCAGTTGTATGGGAAAAGTACTTCCAAGATCATGGCCATGGAGGCTGCTGTGCAGCTGAGCTTTAACAAGTTCTGTGACAGGAAACAGCCTAGGTACTGGCCTGTCATCCCTCTGAAGTTCTGAGTCCTAGCCACAAGGACCCTAAGGAATGTCTCCTGAACATAGTTCCTAGCCTCTTCCTCTTCATGTCTTGTGGACATTTTTTTTTTTTTTTTTTTTTTTTTGGCAGAGGAAGAGGCCTATGTATCAACATAGTGGATACAATCTTTCAGCCACTCAAAATTCTGTCAGCAGAAGGTATACTCTTACCAACATAAGGAATGTTCAGTTGACATAAAGTAATAAAAATGTTTATTGCACTGGCTCTTGGTTTTCTTTGTAACAGAGTCCAGTTCACCAAAATTAATGTCTAGAGACACTGCCAAGTGTTTTGAATTTTTAATTTCTTTCTTTAAACCTTCCTAAATGTCATAAAAGTTTTAAGCCACATGTCATCCTTTTTTTTTCCTTTGATACCAGTTCTCATATAGCCCAAGGTAGCCACAAACTCCTAAATTCACCTGCTTTCACCTTCCAAATGCTGGCTTACAGGTTTACACCCCACACTGGGCTCCTTTTGAAAATGATACAAGTATATAATAAGACAAGTGTCACTTGTCACTCAGCTAGTTGTCAGCCTGCATGCTCAATAAGGAGCTGAAAGTAAATAATTTGGGCTTGGCAGGCCATGTTGTCTGTGTCATACTGTTTAACCCTGTGTTTATAGCATAAAAACAGCCATAGATGCTGAGTAAACAAATAGATGTGATTGTGTTCCAATACTTTATTTGTAAAAAAAAAAAAAAAATTGTTATCTCATTTTCTGTCCAGAACTTGGATTTTCAAACAGAATTGATAGCAAAGAACAGTAATTCCCAAACCTGGTCACTTTTATAGTCTCTTTTGTTGTCAAAATGTACGGTTGAGCTCTTACTGCATATAGTAAATGCCGATTTGATAAGCAAATACATTTGCGAGAAGGAAAATGTGAACATTGATGTAGCAGTCCTTTTATAGAAGCCAGCTCCTTTTTAAATAAGTTATTATAGTGCATTGCCAGGGTGAGCCTGTGTTGACCTGAGAAGATTAGCACATCCATCAAAGGTTGGTGAAAGGATTTTGTATTGATGGGTTCTCCCTAGGAACATATTTAGCTTCCATCCAGCCCCTGCCCTGAGACACATTCCTTTCAGCATCCCCGGGTGTTTGGTTGTTCCAAGTTCTCATTTTATTGCTGGCATTGCATTTTGTGCCTCGGTGCTGAAGACAAAAATCAGAATTCACTTGTTGATGCATGCCTGATATTTTCCATGTTTGGTCTTTCTCTTTTTTCTTAGATACTCAATGCCTAAATAATAAAAATTAATGTGACTCAGACACAGGCAAGCCAAAGCCTGTCTTAGCAGCAGATGCTTAGCTGAGAGTAGTTTTCAATACCTGCTTCAGAGATGCTACCATGTCATCCCACTGCTGCTGGCTTTGTTACTGTAGACAGTTGACCTTCCTCTCTCCTGCTTCTCTTTGAAAGGAGTGGTAACAATTTCCCTTCCATGCTGTTATGAAGACCATTGAGCAGTACCTATGAAGTACATGGTGCTGACCACACAGTAAATACTCAATGTGTATATTACACATTCCCTCTTTTTTATTTTTTATTATTAGTTACATTTTATTACCTCTGTATCCCAGCTGTATCCCGTTCCCTCATTCCCTCCCAATCCCACCCTCCCTCATTCATCTCCTCCCTGCCCCTTTCCAAGTACACTGATTGGGGAAGACCTCCCCTTTCATCTGACCCTGGTTTATCAGGTATCTTCCGGACTGGCTGCAAAGTCCTCTTCTCCCTTGTGGGTGGGGATGTCAAAGAGCCTGCCATTGAGTTCCTGTCAGAAATAGTTTCTATTCCCCTTACTATGGGAAACCAATTGATTACTGAGCTACCACATTCCCTCTTTTTAAAAAGCTATAAAATGTCAAGACGAGGTCCAGGATATAAAACATCCACATATGAAAAAGTCTTCCTGTCCACTCTAGTTTCTAGATACCTAATGTTCACATGTAATTTATACCTAGGATAATTGGTGATAGAGTATAGCCATTGCTTGTCCAGTTCTCAGAAAATAAATATTATTGAATATATTGAGTAGCCCTTCCAATTAGCTTAACTATAGTCCCTTCCCCTTGGGGAACTTGCATTCTAGGCAGGGACACAAAACATATGTACTGTGTTTATTAATAGTGTGTCTGTACACTGCTAGAGGCATCTGTAAAAGCAGAAGAAGGAGCTTAGGGCAGGGCAGTGGGAATATTTGTCCATAGTAAACTATGCCCATTTTCAAAAAGGTTGGGAAGGATTAAGTCAGATATTTTGAAACAATATCCTCTATCATAGTAACTAATAACCAGAGTGATGTTAAAGTTGAAAAAGCAGTTGCTGTGTAGAGGCTGACATAAGGACTTCATTTTGATGCTGACAGCTTTAGGTGCATGTTTGTTTCTGTTAGCCACAAGCTTCCAAACTGAGAGCCTACCAAGAGTTGCTTCAGAAGATCAAGGGATGATCTTATGCAGGAAACACCATCGGATTTAACAGCTCCATGTCATGAAGACAAAAAACCAAGCATTAGAAATAGCATTCTCTTGGAGATGTTTTCTACCATTTGGTGCAGAGACCAGTACACTGTGCTTATACCACAGGGCTAATGCAGCTCAGTTGTGAGACTGCTTGACTGGCATGCATTAAGCCCTAGGTTCTGTATGTTCCAACATCCCATAAACAGGGTGTGTAATGTGTGTGCACCTGTAACCCCAGGAGGTAAGGGCAGGAGGATCAAAGAGTTCAAGGTCATCCTCAGCTACACAGTAAGTGTGAAACCTTTGTCTCAAAGAACAAAAACAAAAGCAATAAATCTTACCACGATGTGGATGCAGGTAGAGTATTTACAAGGCTATTATGGATTATTCCACTGCTAATCAGAACCATGATAATTAGAATAACATTCTAAACCTTTCATATAGGCAATTTATGGACAGGCAATAGAGAGGCAGGAATTCACATCAAGGAGTATAGGACCATCTACCTGCTATTGCTGTGATGAAACACCATGACCAAAAGCAAGTTGAGAAAGAAAGGATTTGGCTTATATAGTCCATCACTGAAGGAAGTTAGGTGAGGAAATCACATAGGTGGGTAACTGTGGGTAGTAGCTGATGCAGAGGTCATGAAGAATGCTGCTTACTGGTTTGCTCCCCATGACTTTCTCAGCCTGCTTTCTTGGGTTTTGCTTGTAAGACAGCCCTGCTTGTTCTACAAACTCACAGAGATCCAGTTGCCTCTGCCTCCGGAGTTCTGGGATTTCTTTCTTTCCTTCTTTCTTTCCTTCTTTCTTTCTTTCTTTCTTTCTTTCTTTCTTTCTTTCTTTCTTCCTTTCTTTCTTTCTTTCTTTCTTTCTTGGATTTCTTTCTTCCTTTCTTCCTTTCTTTTCCTTCCTTCCTTCCTTCCTTCCTTCCTTCCTTCCTTCCTTCCTTCCTTCCTTCCTTCTTTCTTTTTTTGAGTCCTTTTTTAAATTATCATTTATTACATTGTATTCTGACTTGTGGCCCTCTCCATCATCTCCTCCTAATCCCACCCTCCCTCCCTCTTATTCTGCTATACCCTTCCCCTAGTACACTGATAGGAGAGGTCCTTCTCCCCTTCTGTTTGATCCTAGCCTATCAGGTCTCATCAGGACTGGCTGCATTGTCTTCCTCTGTGGTCTGGCAAGGCTGCACCACCCAGGGTGAGGTAATAAGAGAGCCTTCCACTGAGTTCATGCTAGAGAAAGTCCCTGCACCAGCCTCCTTTCTTAAAGAACCCAGAACCACCATCCCATGGGCTGGGCCCTCCCACATCAATCACTAATTAAGAAAATGTCCTGAAGACTTGACTATAGCACAATCTTACACAAGCATTTTCTCAGTCGAAGCCCGCTCTTCTGAAGCTTTTGTTAACATAAAATTAGTCAGCACAGCCTGGTTAAAAAACAATTATATTTAATTTTTTGGAGTTTTGTGGGTGGGTGTCATGTAGCTCTCAGACTTAATACTTGCTGTGGATCAGAAGATGACCTTGAACTCCAGATGCTCTTGCCTTCATCCCCCTTAGATCCAGACTAATTTTCAACCCTGAGATTATATAGATTTTTATGGCCTGGAACAGAGAGCCAAAAGTCTCTGTGTAAAGATGGGCTTTAGGACTTTAGTTCCAAGTGAAGAAGGTCCAAGGTGCTAAAAGCCACTTAGTTGCTCTGGCAAAACCTTAAATTCTATTGTCCTGAGGAGCAGGAAAGCTGGGGCTGATGGCACAATCATTTAATCAGGAGGCAAAGACTAGGGGTCCCTGAGTTCCAGGCCAACCTACTCTATATTAGTGAGTTCCAGAATAGTTAGGACTATTTAGAGAGATCCTGTCTTAAAAAAAAAAAAAAGGAGGATTATAAAAGGAAGTAGATAGAGCTAGAGAGAACTAGCCCTAGGCACTCAAGGGAAAAGCCCAGGTATAGGTCATTAACACAGATCTCAGCAATGGTGTGGTAGTACTTCCTAGTCTTAGGTACTTGTCCACTTCCTTTACATGCCAGTGGGGGACTTAATACAATGAAGGGAGAGATGATTCTGTACCCTCCACATACGCTGCATCATCACAAGGATATTTTTAAGTAGGAAGGCTACTGGGTTGAAGTGGGAAAAGGAAACAGCAGAAGTCAAAGGCATGACTGGAAAGAGTGAAGAACAGCCACCTGCAGACTCCAGAAACTGGATGTCAAAACACACACACTCACACACACACACACACACACACAGAGAGAGAGAGAGAGAGAGAGAGAGAGATTTTCCCCAAAAGCCTCTAGAAGAAATTTTCGGCCTCTAGAAGAAATTTTCTTATGCCTTGATTTTAGCCCTGTCAGACTCAAGAAGTGTTAGATGGTCTATCTGTGGCTTGAGCCATTTCATTTGTGGTAATCTATCAGAGCAGCAACAGGAAACTGCGATGGGAAATATGTGATCAATTGGTGATGCTGTGCTGAGCACTTCATGTACGCTACATGATTTAGTCCCACCACACCTCTGAAAGTCAATTCCTCATTGCCCAGAAAGAGAAATGGACTCAAAAGAAGTTGCCCATTGCCAGCAAAGGAGGCCACATCAGGAGTGAAAATCGATCTGAGTTTTGGGTCTCCGAGCTCTTGCCTCTCTGCTAAGCTTTCTATCTGTAGATGGAGGGAAATATTTGAGTGAGCTCCAGCTCTTGTCTTGAGAGACTTGAGTCTCTGTCTCCAC